ATTTATTTAATTGCACCATCATTATTTTGGAATGAAATGAATACTGTAATTGTAAGTATCTACAGTTACATGCTTATCTCTGGGTTCACGTCATCCAGTGTTGTGACAATTAAAAAAAAAACTGGGACTTTAAACTTAAATCTCATTGAAAAGTTAATTGTGGAGTTTCACGCAAGGTCACGTCTAATGCTGAAGTATTTTGATGCATAATTTGATCTCACTTAAAACATACATATATATTTTCCTACCCATTTCATTAGAGAGTCTCTTCAGAATTCTTTATAGCCCTAACATGATTCCCCTGAAACCTTTCAATTTCCATATTTTGAAGATTTTAAAATCCCCAAAATAATAAAACCTTGTCTCTGACCCACTCAAAGTTTAAGACTAGGAAAAAGTAGCACAGCTTCTCCATTTAGAATAGCCAAGGTTCATCGGTAATCATTTCTGTAAAGAAGAAAAAAATAAAATAAAGGAAAACATTATAAAATGTTACCTTTTGACGGTAACTAGAATCCACTTTTTCTTTTCAAAGACAATAAAAAAAGGGTAGCTGTACCACAGAGTGCTTAGAAAGACTATCTTTCGAGATACGATAGAAATTCCAGGTGACATCATTTTTGGCCAAAGCTCAAAGGCTACTGTGAAGGAATACAGCTCTTCCCAATTATTGCCTATGTAAAGATCAAAATAAAGGCAAAGGGCCAATTCTTAGAGATGTCTCATCCCAAATGTGCTATGCGATTACCTACATACTCATTGCATATGTGGGAAGTGTTTTTTTATCAGTAAAGCCACAAATGCTCTTCAAGTAGACTTGAAGCAACTGCCTCTTCTTCCCCACTCTGCTTTCTCTAAATAATGATGACTGTTGAAGACCAAGGTGGTTTACACAAAGAAGTGTTGATTCTACTTAGGGACCACTGGACCATTTAAAAACAGCATTGTGAGGCCATGTTCTTTTTTGGCAGGGCCACTGAGGGTACACATCCTGTCACCCAGAGTTCCAAAGAAACATAATGGAGTTTTAAAAGCCAGGACATTTTTTTCAGGCCTCTGCCTGTACAGAGAAGTTACACCAATCGAATCAAAATTATTTTTAAACTGGTTCTGACTGCATAAATGCCTAAGCAAAAGCAATTTGCATTAACATATTTTATTTTGCAGTTGAAGTGGGATAGGAATGCACACCCACTCAGTCAATCAAGAGCATGTCTTCAAGCTACAATACTTGATTACTCACAACTGCTTGTCTCTACCTGAAAAAAGCTTAACTGGTTTTGAACCAGCAAATTCAGGTAAGCTCACACTTTTGAATTTACCTCTGAGAACCAGTATCAACCAGTTTTAAGTTTCCACAACAAATTTCCCACCAGTGTAATTACATCACCGTCATTTATCTTTAAGTGTATGGTTAGATACCACAGGACAACTTTTTGTGAGTCTAAGTGTCAGGGGATGAGCATTAAGGAACTAAAAGCATACTTCAGATACACAGCGCTCTGAACTCCCACGTTAAAACAATGACTCTGTTTGGTATAAAATAAGCTGGCTCCACAGAAGAGAAACCAGAGTGATTCCTACACACTGTCCAGTGTCACCAGATCTGGCTGATTTGTTCACCCCTGCACCCTCGTGGCAGCCCCACAGATGCGGTGTGGGGCGCTCATCATTGGCTTTTGCACGTGCCCGAGGCAGGAGGGGAGCAGCCACAGGGAGGCAAAGCCCCTGCCCAGGACACCGAGGGGCCAGTCCTGTATCCCCTGCCAGGGTTCAGCTCCGTCCAACCCCCCCTCCGTCATACTCTTCAGTCAACTTTATCTCATCTTCAGTGACATACCTAAGCTCCAGGAAGAGAGATCAGCCCCCTCCCCCCATCTCAGCCCCACACGTTTCCCCTGCATTTTGGGTGGCCAGCAATGGGCTGAAGCGTGCGTGTGCTGCCTCAGGCTCTCCCTCTCTATGAAAAGCTTGTACCTGTTTACATGTCCCCTTCCCAATGCCTTCCCCCACTTTTCCTCCCAGATCACCCCAAGGAAAAGGGATGGCCTCTGAACACTCTGACCTGTGACAAAACACCACCTGATGAGAAAGGCTTTATTAACAAAAACATATTTAGCACTGGAGGCACGGTTAGCAGTATGTAAAATAACTTCATTTTCTCTGCCTCCCTGTCATTCCCAGCAGAGTACACAGACAACATAGGACCAGGGAGAGAGTAATGCTCAAGTGCAGGAGTTTAAAATTATCTTGGAAGAGATCAGGGAGACACTCTAGGAAAAATGATACTATACCTGGGAAAGAGCCTTTTGCAAAAGTAAGCCTGGTGTCGCAGGAGCGGAAGGCAGCAGAAACTGATGGGAAAGCATCTATATGATGGAAGTAACTGGTTTGATGGAGCTGGATATAGAAGTTTTAAACTACAGAACAAGTATCATACACAGCAGAGCTGTGCAAACTTTCCAGTGTTCGACTCCAACAGCACTTCGAAAATAATACCACAGCCTTGGCCTTTTCTGCTTAAATAACAAGCTGTAAGCAAGAGCCAAAGATGTCTATCATTTGGAGAGCAAAAAGTAGACTGAGACCACACTCTCACTTTACAGATAGCTACAAAGATTACATGAAGATAGGACTGTAAAGACATATCTTTAAGTCCCTGCCAACCTAATCAAGATGGTATTAACAGTGATCTCACACTCCATCTGCCTGGATAGTAATTTATGAAAAACGTACTTCACTATTACAGGAAAAATATGTTGCACTGCTTGTGGCCACAAACCTACTGCAGCAGCCCAGGAACTCTTGGATCAGAGGCCGTGAGACCAGTTCTTGACATTTACCAGGTACTGCCAAGGAGATTTGATTCATTCATATAGTGGTTTTGTTTGTTTGTTTGTTCGCCCTACTGACAATCTCATCTTCACACAGATAAAACAGCTGACGAAAAACTTAGTCCTTCGCAATTTAGTGTAATACCATAATGCTTTATATTTTCAACTTTTCCGTGTGTCATGTAATTTTGTACTTCTTTCTGGAGATCAAACATAATCCATTTAATTAAAACCAAGTTAAAAACTGGAACCTGATCCAAACATTCTGAATCTAGAAGACATTTTGCTTTTCATCCTGTGAATTCCACGTAGGTACTTCACTTAATTTTAAGGGATTCTTTTTATGAGTGAAAAATCTCCCTGTGCTTGCAATGATCAGCAATTATTTCTGATTAAATGACTCCTTTTCCTGCCAGAAACTCATCTTGCTGTATTTCTTCAATTAATATTGCATGCCTGTTCCTTTAGCTTACACTGCCTAAGAAGTATCAGACCTATGGGGCTTGCTAGTTGCAGAAAGGATTTTAAGTTTTTTTTCGGGGGCGGGGGGGGGATAGTGTCATTTTGGAAAACAATATGAAATCTTCCAATTTCCAGCAAAGCAAAGTTCACGGGCAGCACTCTAACATCAGAATTACTACGATGACCTCTGAGTATCAAAACAAAAAAAACCCACCAGTATAAACACACTGGAATTAATTGCTAATTATGTATTTCTTTGCTTAGCAGAACTGCTGTTTGGATCATTCTTCTTTGCTGCACCAAAGGAAAACTAGATGTGCAATGAAGAATACAGTAAAGCAGGACAAAAACCCTTCTGCAGTTCTACAAATGTTCTTTCTGCTGCGATTTGGGGGAAAGTATCTAGGAAACTACTAACTGCCGTAAGTGTGCGGGTTAGGATATTCAGAGCAATAACTAAGGAATAATGGCCTATGATCTGGTCAGTTCCTACTCATATGAACTGAAAGACATCACAGTTTTTTATGCTGAATAGCAACAAGGTGAAATGAGCCTCTAATATTATTAAAAGGCTTGCACACTCAGTATCATTTGTAAGACTTATGTCACAATCAGAATATGCAAAGTTTTCCTCCTCTAGTTGTGGGACAAGACAAGGGCTTGGAGCACAAGAGTATTTTCTTACCAAATAAAATACCCAAATTACGTTGTATAAAAGGGGTGATTCAATCTCAAGTTCAATTTTATCAAGAATATAGGTAAATTCAGGCTCAGAAGCATTTCTTCCATCTTCAGCAATGCAGATGAAGGGAACACTTTCCCTAAGTACACATGTTCTTGTGGCTCCAATATTCCTCTATAAAAGTAAACACTGCCATTTATTGTATTGCAGTACGCTAATACAATTCTGAAAGAAACTAGGTAAATTTTCTAGTGCTCATTTGGCAGTTTCTAGCTATGATATCCACAACTTCTACTCAGGGAGATTTTTTTTTGCCTCCTCAGTTTTGCTCCTCAAATACTTTCATTTCTGTTCAGGAAAAATGTTCTACCCATTTCACTTTGTCAAATCAAAAAAACTACAGATTTGTCTTTCAGAAACATTTTTTGAAAACAAGAAATCAAAATGTCTTCACTTTATCCAACAGATACACAGTTTGTAGCTTTGCTAATATATGCAAATTGTCTGATTGCTTGAAATTACTGATTAACCAGGCTGGAGAGCTGATTACCTGATTATCCAAGAGAAAAATAATTTAGCACGATTTTGTGTCATTTGACAGTCTAGATAATTTTCTAATTAATCTGAGTTTTCAAGTGAATTCAGAGATACTACTGAAAATGAGAAAAGAGGTCAATGATCTGAATAAAGGTAAGCTTTCCAGGAATTTTCTTCTTACAATGATGACCTGTCAAAATGTTATTGTTATTTACAGACACTTCAGATGCAACACACACAAAAATGAGAACTTATGCTTCAAAAATCATTAGGACTTAGGATTCAAAAATCAACCCATGCTAAAAATCTTCAATGCTCTTGTAAAGATATCTTGTAGAGCTGGACTTAAGATTAGTAGTGTACTAGTCTGACACATGGCATCAAACTTCCAGTGTTACCAATAAATTCTGAACTACAAGTGAAGCAATATGTAGCAGATATTTTGTCAATATGCTGAGAGAACAATAAATACTGGAAATACGTACTTGCCACTGAAAAGTTGTTGAGTGGATATGGCAGATCCACATCCTGGGGCTTTTCCTTATAGCCTATGAAAGACCCATCTGTCTTTAGCAGGAAATATCTTGGCCGCCAGTTTTTTATATATTCTCCTAAAGGAGGAAAAAAAAATGTTCATTAGTACTGTAGAAAAAAACCTTTGATATTAAAAACTGTAACATATTATCAGTGTCTAACATTAATTATCCCAAAATCTTTTCAGATGTTTTCAATTTACAGAGGAAACCTTAACTCCCTCCAAAAAAAGAGAAAATGGAATTGCAGTGATAAGCCTGGGCTATACAATGACACCTCTGGAATAAGAAGCTACAAGCACTGTACACTAATATTCTATAATTCTAAATTTTATCACACTATACTCTTCAAAATCCTACATCTTTGCACTTATATACAGTTCAAAATTTGCTGCACGCAAAACTAAGCACTGCAGCTTGACTTTTAATAACAAAATGAAATCTAAACTACCACTAGCTAGAATATTTATCCTGCAGAGCCAAGGCAAAAACGATTAATTTCCTAAAAACATAGACTAAGCAAATACAAGAATATTGGGGGTAATAGGAGAACCTACACAAATTATAGTTAACAAATATATCTGAAAGCAAAAGGAATAAAAAAGAAAATAGCAGCCAACTACCTTTCAAGAGGTAAGTCCACCAATAAACCCACCCCATCCACCTTCCCCCTACCCCAGTCTAAGCAGAAGATTCTGCTATCCACAAGGTATTCAGGACCAGAAACATAGGGAATAGGTCAGCAAAGACATGATAGCTTAATTAATGCCACTTACTTCCTATTTAAGGCCGAAAAATCTCTTTATTAGCATTATACTTTACAATGCCACACAAAAATCCCAGCAAGAATTTAATTTTTAAAGTGCAATTACTCAGTTAAGCACAGGTGAGTTTAGATCTGCCCAACTTTCCCCATCTTTGATTTCTAACAACTCTGCAAAGTAAATAACGTATGTACAACTACTTACTAAGTTTTAAATGTCATTGTTTCATTATTATACAACTGAACATTTTAAGAAAAGAAGCGTATGTAACAATGCAGAACTTCCAACCCTGCCTAGGACTTCTCACCATTTGCAAAATGCTGAAAATTGACCGGTCCAGGGGCAGCACTGGTCCTGGGCTAAGCCCAGCCCTATAGTGCCATTTATCACCTCAGCACCCTACTAACTGTAGCTACATAGATTTTAGACAATTCAAAGGTCAGGAAGAAGTTTACGTCCATCTGACACAGAGATTACACCATTAAAGGCTAATATAAAAATTCATTAATCACATCTTCATCTTTCCATCAGAGCAGTAAACTAATTGTCACTGAAGTTCAACGTGGGAATTGTTTATATTGGCTTGCTGAACTCAATCACTTGATTTTGACGAAGCCCATGGCTTAAAAATCTCACTGCAGCCATTAACATTTCTGACTTTCAACACATATTTAAGCAGAGAAGCGGGGTAGGGAGATGGAGAAGAGAAAAGAGTGAGAAAAATGAACATCAGTCTATTCGTGCGGACTTATCTTTCCTGGCCCTCACTAGCAAAACTCTTCCTGTTTAGTCCTGCTTCTAGATAGCAGGGTACCTGCTTGATTTTGTTATCCAGAGATTTTCATATAAGTAGAATGATAATTGAAAAAGTCAAAGTGTTACTTAATTTGCCCACAAAATTAATAGAGCAGATATAGCACTAGTTACATTGGTATTGACTCCGAGCTTTCTATCTCAGATCTCTGGTGCTGGTTCAGCTGGGAACATCCCTACTGACACTGCCAGTCTGAACTGATTTCTCCATGGGAAATCCCAGCTAACACACAAGCAAACAATGAAAAAACAAACCAAAACAAAAAAACAGGTAAGTTGGAAAAGAAATACAAGTGCACTATGGGAAAACAAACGTGTAACTTTAATACCAACAACAGTGGAAATCTATATCATCATTACATGAAAAAGTAAAGACATTTCTTGAATTAAGTTTACTGAATGCTTGAAAATGAAATAATCATAGGCCTAAGTAAAGGCATGACTCATATTTTAAGAAGGTTTAAAAAATGCCCTGCGACAAATTTGCTGAAATCTTCATGGACTCAAAAGTTGAAGCCCAAACAAAATCTTACATATCAGATCACCCAATGTAAGTTTTAAAAATATTAACATGCTAGTAGCTTTCTTAAAAGGACCATAAAGAAACTCTTCTGTACAATTCTAATAAATTATATCTCATTTAGTTGTAACCGTAAGTGACTGTTACGAGAGAAAGTGCCTGTTACTAAGTCTAAAATCGATCAAGATCTCAGCCTTATCTAGAAAGTGTGTTAACTGGAAGACGGGCGTCTCAAACTACTGAAGAAGAGTTCAAGGACAGCACGGAGAGAATACCAACATGCCTAAACCAGGTCAGCCATCCAACAGTTCAGGTTTCAATGAGAGTCCTCCTTTCTGTGAGGAATAAACTGGACAGGGAGATAAGCACACTCTGCTCTAAGAATCAGAGCTGACAGGGTAAGTACACTCATTAGTCACTTTGGGAAAGAACAGAAGTCTTTGCTTGCTTACATATATACTCTCCAGAACTAAACATGTAGAAAAGGAAACCGTTCTAGCTGGTGTCCTTAGACACTCAACGCACATTTCCCTGATTACTTACTCCCTCTCCTCCTATTAGGACAACACTTTAGATTGCATTTGGCTTCTACTAGGTACTCATATTCTCTTAATCGGAAAACCAAACAGATTTTTGATCATCTATTGAGTTATGCAGCTGAATTTCTGCCTGGAGAAAAAACATTAGAAGAGTATGACTAGCACTTCCAAGCTCCTCTGAAGAGAACTAGTGACTTTGGACAAAAGCTAATCACAAGAAGATATAAATATTGAATGATGTATAAGTACCAGTTTATCCATGAGCACAGCTGTACCTCTGTCTTTGGCCTGCTATAGCCAGACACAGGACATGTAATTTAAAAGCAATTGCAAAACATTGTGGCTTCATAAGGGACCATCTATTTCTTTTATAGACAGATTTCTTTGAAGAATGTTTCTCCTAAATGGTTTCCCAACATGAATTACAGTCAGTCTACTTTGTCAAGACATCCGTACAAACACGGACACACACAAAAAAACCCCAGTTTTGTCTTGAAATGACCAATATTCCAATCCCTCTTCAAGGCCTATACATGAATATTTATCATCTGCTCTTTATTTATTTTGTAATTTTAATTAACAAATGGGTGAACACTTTTGAAGACTAAAGTAAACAACGGTATCAGTGAACAGTTCACTTAACTTGCTCAAGTGGTTTAATGGCTCTCAAGATGCACTCTAGGTGCTCTCTTATAACTGCATTCCTTCTACATAATCTGCTTAAAGATAGAAAAAAAACCCCACATTTCAGTCCATACTTCTTAATAGACATGTGCTTACTGAACTGCTTTGAAAGAGAAATCCTCCATACAAAAAGTACTAAAACACAGCAGAGGATTTGAAAAGGAAAAACACTTCCACATGTCTTCTAACTAACCAGCCCCACGTTAAAAAAAAAAAAAAACAAAACCAAGAAAAACAAAGTATATTTTACAGTACAAGCAACGTTAAATTACTTTAAAGATATTTGGAGTGTATGTTTATCAAATACATCACCACAAGCAAACAACAGGAAATTTACATCCGAAATTCATTAATTCAAGTGAAAAGAAATTCCATGAGAAAGGAGCAGTCCAGGCAGGCTAACCAAACCACAAGATATCCTGACAATTTAATGAAATGGAGCTGTGGTACTTAAAAAAGCAGTGGATCTGCCACAGAGAATTAATCAGTTTGTACCCTGCTTCCTGCTG